GAATAAAATAAACTAAATAAACTAATATTTAGTTTAGTTTTCTACTGAAGTGACAAGAAAAAGAAAAGAAAAAAGAAAAATTAAAGTAGAAAATGTAATTTGTACTTTTACTTTGTACTTAAGTACTTTAAAATGCATGTACTTCTGAATACTTAAGTATTTTCAAAAGTAAGTACTTCAGTACTTTTACTTGAGTAGATTTTTAACTGAGTAACTTTTACTTGTAGTGGAGTAGATTTGACCATGAGTATCAATACTTTTACTCAAGTACTAGAGTTGAGTACTTTGTCCACCACTGCACAAGACATGTCAATTCAACCAATCACGGTTAGGGAAAACTCCACCCACATCAAAACCTCCACCAATCACAAGTAGGGACGTCTCCGCCCACAGGACAACATGTACTACAGAGACCCCTACTTGCATATTTGAGAAAGGGGCTCCACCTGAAAAGGGGGTGTCCAGACATACAAAATTGTCTATTTAGCAGTAAGTAAATAAGCTCTGATGCTTCTCGCTGATGAAGAGCTATCCATCAGGCCCACCAATGAACCCCCCACCCCGCCAAAACAATACATCTGTTCTGGTGAGTTCTGAGTTCTGGTGCATTGATGCACTGTTCTCTCCTGGTCTTTATAGAAGAACCGTAACTCTAACAGCAACTGTTGGAAAAGGAGCTCTGCTCAGATCATGTTAAACTGAACATTTAGGTCTAAATGTAAAAATGCTGAGTCAGAAGACTAACGCTGAAAACAATATTTAGTGGTTGAGAATCTGAAGCAGGACTGACCACACTGGCATCAAGCCGAGGTCATGTAACTGCAAAGACTTGACCTCAGTCCAAAAGAGACTGCACAGACACAAAACACAGCTGTAAAACGAACATAACTGACTGGTCGAGCTAACTTTAGCTAACAGAGATTGATTCAGTGTAACTACCACTACCACAAATAAAGAAACAAGGAAAAGTTCAGGAACAGAAACAGCAGCATCAGGTCAGTTACCTGTCAGCATAGGAGCGTAAAATAGTGATCCCCAGAACAAAATACATCATAAACGAAGCCAGAATCATTCCCAGCCCGAGAAGAACGGCCCGATCTTCTCCAGGCTTCAGAGCTGTCACTGGCTTCTTCTTGTTCAGTAAATCTACCTCCCGGAACGTTTGGTAAATTGACCTGGTAACAGAAGTGACAACATAAATCATTATTGATTTTCAAAAGCAGAAAAATAGATGATAAACAGAAAGGTCCAGAGTTCTGGTGAATTTAAAGTGGGGCTTTGTGGAAAAGTCATGAACATGATGAGGAGGTGCAGGTCTGCAGGCTGATCAGGGCTCCATTCTGCGGGTTTTAGCTCACTGATACAACCACTACTACACCTCATATCATCCTATTTAATGCTGGAATGAGCCTGCTGTGTACATCAGTGTAGATTTGTGAGACTACAATTAGAAAATAAATGATGAGTCAGCAGCTGGGAGCAGACAGACTGGACATGAATAGAGCAGAAAACTAAAGACAGTGGAGGGGAGACTAAAGCCCCTTTTCCACCAGTGCCACTTAGTGTAGTGTCGGAACAGTCGGTGTAGGTACGGGTTGGACCAGTTAGCTTTCCACTGATGTTCCAGTCCGGTTCCAATTGGTGTGTTTTGGGTGGTTGGTGGTGGTGGTTTTTAGGTGTTTTGAACAAAAATTAATGGGCAAAATGAGAGATGGAAACACATTTGATAAATAACTTTTGAAATTTTCAACATTTGCAAAAATTTTGCCAACCAGTGACGAACAGTGTTCTGACGTTGCATTTTGGTGTCAGCTGGGGCCGGTTGGAACCACAATGAAGTAGGTACTTAAAAAGTGCCGATTCCATGGATCTGGCCTAATGGAAATGGCTTGGAACCGTACTGAACCGTACCGACACTACACTAAGTGGCACTAGTGGAAAGGGGGCATAATTCACCCACAGGTCGATCGTTTTTAAATAATTATGTGGCTTCTGAACATAATGGTCAGGACTTTAAAGCAAAGGGGTGAATCTGAACCCACCACTTCTTCAGTTTTCCATACATCATCTGTGCCCACTTTTTCCTTTCAAGGTCACAGGGGTCCATGGTGCCCATCCAGCCAGTGCGAGGGGCGGGGTACACCCTGGACAGATCACAAGTCCATCACAGGACTTGTGCATCACATATTTCTCCAGTTTTAGCTTCTCTCCACTGGCTCCCTGTCAAATTCAGAATAGAATTTAAAATATTACTCCTAA